ATTAAAATATATTATTAATACCGGATTTATTACCTCTTTACCACCTCATTTCCTTTTTGCAGGGCAGAGACGCGTTGTGCAAAGTTCAATAATTGAACCAGGCTGTTTTCGCTTTTGTTCACAAAATTCAGCTCTGCATGATATTCATTGGCTTCTCCTTTAAACTCGCCCCCGTTCATTTTGAGACTTAACAGCAGGTTACGTACTTCCTTCAGGATGGCTTCATCTTTACGGTTGCCAAACATATTCCCATCTAAAGCAGCGAGCATACTTTTAATGTCTACATATACCCCTGTGGGGTGGCCGGCAATTTCTTTATTAAGTATTGCGGGCATACTGCCATTGTTGCCTTTTTGATACGCAAGGGCACTGGCTGCTTTATTAGACACGACAATAAATTTATCATTGATAAGAATATTGACAGACTCGTTTCCGCCCATTGGTATCTGGTAAACACCAGGTGCCGAAGGTGCTAACCCTGTCTGCTTTTGTACCAGCGCAAGCAGCTTCTCCAGCTTTGAATGATCATTTACTTTAAGCGCGTACACCAGGTTCATCTGCGGTTTGTATTCATCATAGGACTTCATTTCATCCGCGCCATACATGGCAGCCAGCGCGCTGTCAGGGGCGTTTGTAACCTTGTTCACTGCAAATTCATTGAGCGACAATACCATGTCTCCGGTAAAAGCACCCAGGATCTCGTCCACATTTGTACCGCTTTCCATCAAGGCCAGGTTAGCCATGCCTGTCAGGTTGAGCTGGTCCAGGATCATTTTCAGTACTTTGGGCGACAGGTGATAGCCGGCTGCCAGGTTAAGTTGTTGCTCCGGTATACGGCTGAGCATGTCTTTATCAACACTTTCGTTACCGGCTTCGCTGGCAATACGCTTCATGCTATCGCTGGGATAGTAGCGCATATCTGCAGTGATCTTACCATCTTCAAAATTTACGGCGGTGGTCATAGCAGCATTCTTCCAGAGGGAAGCCGTCATCATCATGGCATCAAAACCCATACCCAGGGTTTGCTGGCTCATATTATTAAGCATGCCATCGTAGGCTACAAATACAGAGATGTCATTGCCTTGCTTGTCCAGTTTTTTAAAGCGATCATTGTCCATGATACTGGCGTCCTTCGTAATAGCAAAGGCGGCGTCCATTTCAGCAAGGGTTGCTGCGGTATCGGTAACGCGTTCGCGCCACTTATAGGTGGGCATGTCGGACATGTCGGCCACCGGCTCTGTTGCTGCTGCATCGTCGGCTATGGGTTCAGCCACGGTCACTTCTTCTTCATGCACGATATCCTGTACGGCTGTGTTCATCACTATCAGTACATCGCTGTTCCAGGCGGCATATACCTTACCGTCAAACATGGCTTCACTCCGGTCCTTCACCTTATTGATAGCGATGCCCGGTGCTATTTTATGTACATAAGCTTCCCATGCCTTCACATCACTCATTGGTGCTACCAACCCGGTCTTCAGGTCATTTGAAAAACGCTTATCGGGCTTTGCATAACAGTACACGGTATTCATCCAATCAATACCCGAAGCTTCAATGCCATCGATAATAGATTTGCCCCTGGCGGTATCGCGGACGTTTGCTTTCATTTCATCCAGCAGCTTGCTGCCGGTGATCGCGCTCCAGGCGAGGCTTTTCCCGATTTCCTTTATATTGATCCCTACAACGATTGACGCGTCTTTGGGTATATAACGGACATGCTTGGGTACAGAATTACAGGCACTCAGAAAGAGGATACAAACCAAGGCCAGGATTGCAGGACGAATGGTACGTTGCATAGATAGTTTTATAAAGCGAAGGGATAAAAAACCCGCAAGAGCGTCTTAATGGGCCTGGTAACAGGAGATCACTATTCGCTTTTGCGGGCGGTACGTATCAATATGATTGATTAGAACGGAAGATCGTCCGGGGCATCCTGAGAAGCGCCCTGGTTACCGCTATTGAAGTTAGGTTGTGGCTGGCTGCCGAAGTTATTGCCATTGTTATAATTGCCGCCGCCGCCATTGTTG